GGCTATCTGCCTTTCCATGGCCTCCAACCTTGCATCCTGTGCGGCCCTTCCGGGGGACACAGGGGGCGCGGCTTCGGGGACGGCATTCTGCTGAGCGGCCACAGCACCGTGCGGCCGCCTAAAGATCTGCGCACCTCGCCGTTGGAAACGTCGTCCAACGGTGTTGATCCTCGGGGTCTCGTCTCCCCGCGGGATTTGGCGGGGGACTGATGGTGTGTGAGCCCTGGATGCAGCGATGCTGACTCTGGTTCGCCCTCCCGTTCCACGGGAGCCTGAACCCCCACCTAGCCGCTCGTGGACTGAGGGCCGGTGGTCGCTGGATCCTGTCGTATCGTCATACGACTGCATGCGGCGTATGGGAGAGAGGGGCGTTCGCTGGGTACTTGCAGAGTACACCTGGTCTCGGGCCTCCCGCTCGTCTGCCAAGCGACGCATGGTGTCTGCGAGTTCCCGCATGAGGCGAGGATCCTGCCTGGCCTCCAGAGGAATGAGGTCAGTGATACCCCCGTTTCCCCCGGAGGTCCATATTGTTGCGGATAGTTCCGAGTTCTGGCCGCGATTCCGGCGGCTTGATTCCAGACGCTCGGAGAGATCACGCTGGTTGTTGCTTCCTGACATCGTGTTTGCTGTAGGTAGACTTAGTAGCTGTTTGGGAGAGTTTCTGGAAACTTTTTGCTCAGGTTCCCACAGACGGCGCCAGTGTTGAAGTTTATTCCTTCAACCCTTGGACCCAACACGTAAGCCCAAAGATTTCGAATGGAGTAAGTATAAGGATATCTAGCCTAACAACTATGAGATGGATCAGGAAACAAAAGTGATAGCAGGCAATGTAAATAGGTATTATTAACTTCGTAATAACTCCCCTAAATACAATCTACTTGCTAAAAAGGGCACGTCGGCCGTTCGTCTTACAAGGCACTTAGAAATGCTGCAAGTAAGAATGCTGAAGCTAGTATGCTAAGAATAGAAAGTTGCCAACCCTTTACAATGAAATAAATGCTTCTATTTATACCCGCCAATGGGCAGGTAGCTGTACTGACGTGGCAGCCTGTGGACCGCTGGTGTCCCAACTACCAAATCTTTAGCATTAAATGCACTTCCCGCCAGAATCTAGGTTTCCCGCCGGATCACTGGGGACGTTCGTCCACCCGGGAAGTGAGTTGGATTGCTCCAAGCGACCCTTGAGGGATATTGGCCGTCCGTCTCCTCACCATGTGCATTGGGTTTTCTCCGATGGCTACAGGCTTGCTCTGGGGACGTTCGTCGCCATCCCTGGTGGCCCGTGGCTCTGCTCCTTGTCCCTGCATAGACGTTCGTCGGAATGAGCTGCTGGGCCTGAATCCTCCAACATCAGACGCTCGTCCATCCTTAAAGAGCATGGGCCTGTGGGCTGGCCTAGTTTCTAGCTGGACGCTCGTCTAGCAAAATGGGTTAGTGGGCCGGACCTCGGCTTGGGCCCTTAACCCAACACAAATAAAAGTTCATTTGGTAACAGTAAAGTTGACTAAATAGACTTTATCTGTTGAAGTTAGTAAAATCTTGATCGAAATGACTCAATTGATTGAATCTATTTAATTGTGAAATAATATATTTAGAATATATTTTATTAATAAAATTGTGAAACAAACATTTATGAGTAAAAAGCTAAATTGGTTATGTACAGTAATTTCAACATTTTGAATAGCTAGTACAACAATGTTGTTAGATTAGACTACATCACTACATAATTGCGAGATTAATGAATTCACTTGGTCCTTGGAGGCCATTCAACTCTATGTCTCACTCAGTCCCGAGCTATTGTAAAAACATACTTTGTATAAAATAAACATTCATCATATCATATCAGACTAATTCTGCCCATACTAGAATAAACTAGACATGAACATTCCTGATCAGTTCAGACCATGCCTGATTAAAAAAAATTAATCCAATTAAGCACATCTCAATAAAATTGCAGGCAGGGGGAGGAGATTAAGATGGAGTTACCGTCAAAGTTAGTGATTAAGGTGCACGCTTCAAATCTCACCCGTAATTCCTTGTAACTTTACATCATACATTTGTGAGCTGATCGAGCTCATATATATGGGGCCTATCTATCTATTCCAGAGAGCCAACAACATCATTGAGAGTAGCGGCGATAAGTGGAAGATGATAACATCATCGATCATTCCTATTTCCATGCCAATTTGTGCAACGCTAGCTTAATTATCAACGCTGCACTCAATGATATTTTTCAACTCTCTAATTTAACAATATACGCTCCAACCCTTGCTCGCTTCACATTAATATACCACGTACTAGTATTAGTATTGATTAAATTAATGACAGAAATACACGAAGCAGCATGCTGCGCCAGCAGCTCTGGTACTTTGAAAGTACACTCAAATTTAGGACAGGGGCATAGTACACTAGTACGTACGTGTTGTACTCTTATTATTACTACCTTGTACAACACCCCCGAACTCTTCTCCGTTACCAATTACCATAGTAAAAGAGTGTTTGCATTTGCTTAAAATAAGCCCTTCTCAACTTTTAACTTAAAAAAAGTTAAAAAGAGTGTTTGCTAATACTCACTTCTACTTAAAAAAAAAAGCACTTTAAAGTTAAAAGCTAAAGGTTAGGGTTTAATGCATCAAACCTCCCTGTGATATGGAAATTCGGCGTTTTAGCCCCCCTATGATTTAAAAAATGCGTCAAACCCCTTGTGTTTTAATTAATCATGCACAAAACCCCTTTTATGAATAAATTTAACGATTTGGAAATCACTTTTCCTAATATTTTGATTGAATATGCAAGTAAATATGTCAAAATCTCTGAATCATACAAAAATGTTAATCATTTTTCTTTTATTTGACAATTGAATTTATTAATAAAGGGGGTTCTGTGCATGATTAATTAAAACACAAGGGGGTTTGATGCATTTTCTAAATAATAGGGGGCTAATGCGCCGAATTTCCATATCACGGGGTTGGTGCATTAAACCCCTAAAAGTTACTAGTAGTATATAGCAACTTCTAACTACTTTTTGGTTTTTTTGTAAATAACTCCAACTTTGGGGATAATTATAATGCCCAATCTAATGAGCCAAAGTCCAGCGTACCCTTCACTTATCGTTCCTTATACCCTTTCAATTTACACACAGATATATGCCCTTCGTTTTTCATATTCCTTCTACTTGAATTCATCACTGTGCAACCTGAATTATATATACTCCCTCCGTCCCAATTTGTTTTGCAAAGTCAACATTTTTTTGTCAACCAATAATAAAAGTCAATGCTCCGTATGGCTATTTAATTTAATTTTTAATAATTAAAATTTACATATTCATAAACTACATTAAAATCTCTTCAAAGTTGTAAACTCCAAATTAGAATATAATTAAAAATTGACATCCTAATTAAGTGAACAAAACGAAACTGTTTAACCAAGAAAAGTCAAATTTGCAAATCAATTTGGAACGGAGGTAGTATATAAAATTGGTAAGAAAATGTCGGCTAGAAAAATGGGTCGTTGGGGTGGGCTTCCTGTTCACCGCCGGCATCCCTCTTTCAGTACTCATTTTTTTAAATACGGAATATATATTGGGTTGGTTTGCAACTGCTTTTAAAAAAGCACTTCTCAGCTTTTGGCTTTAAAAAAGTACTTATTTTCCCAAACATTACAACTTTTATTTTTCTCGGCTTCCGCGTCAAAAGTGCTTTTACTTTTTCTATTACACAAAAAACACTTATTTTACCAAACACTACCCACTTTTACTTTTCAAAATCACTTTTTTCTCAAACACTATCAACTTTTATTTAATCACTTCTCTCCATTCAATTAAAAAAAGCACTTTTTTAAAAGCAGAAGTTGTTGCAAACAGACCCATTATATATACGAGCTACGAAGCATCATATAATATTTGTAGGCATGTTTGTGGGAGAGAAAGTGGTCGATAGGTTGGCTTGCACCCACGCAGCTTTCCCTCTTTTGTTGCATTTGTGGGAGCTATGATTCTGCTGATTGCTTTTGTTGAGAGGAACTCCGGCAATAGTCATTGATTGGAGCCGATTGAGGTTCTTCTAGTCTGCGGTAGTCATGAATTGGAGCTGATTGAGTTTCTTCTGTTGCGGGCCTGCGGCACTACTGGTAATCACAGGGAAGGAGTGAAAGATGAGGGAAAGGTGCAGTCTGCCAACGTTGAAAAAGGGTCAACTAAAATATTAAATGAAAAGGGAAGTTTTGTACTTTACAAAAAAACTACATCAAAAATCACTTTTTTATCAAATACTCCAATTTTTACATTTTAACTAAAATCACTTCTATTTCCAAACACTACCTACTTTTACTACAAATCACTTTTCCAATAATCTATTAAAGAAACCACTTTTAAAAAGCACAAACAATCGCAAACACTTCATTAAGATTATCCCATTTTTTTCATTTTCGTTTCGTTCTTTTAAGATTGTCTCATATTTAATTTAGTAAAATTTATGTACTCAGAATTTATTAAATATTTTAGAAGAATGAATTTTAGTCATTTATTATTGCAACGTATGCTCCGTGTGAATAATTCTGATCGTAAGGCTAACCGCAACTCAACCCGTCAATAAATATAATTCCCTACCAACTTATACGTATTCACTCAGTCAATTTAATTTTTTCCGGCAACCCAGCACCGTTAATATATATTCACTTTGCACTTTATTTCTTTAATTAAATGATAAATCCTTACTTTTTTTGTTACACATCATTTATGTGAGAATTTAATTTTATCAACAATTATGATTTAAAAAATCAAACATTCTGATGTAAAAAAATAAAAAAATGTGAATTAATTTTTTGTATGTATTAAAAATGCATACTTGAATTAAATTTGAAATAAATTTCAATAAAATTCAAAAAAGTCCATTATTTATTATTGCTTTTTTTAGAAGAAATCGATCAACTATCATTAATAGAATCCATGTCCAGTACATGTGATATGTGATGTGAAATAAAAGTAGGAGGAAAATCATCCCAAAAAATACAATCAGACATAGAACACGACGCCTGGGCTAACTCATGGGCCGCCATGTTCGCTGATCGTCTAATGTGAGAAAAAGAGATATCAGCAAATAATAATCTAATCTCTCGAATATCACCAGCAATGACTCCAAGTGAGGACACACTCGAACCATGAAGAATTTCCTTGATAGCACCCAAAGAATCCGACTCCACATCCACCGAATCCCAGCCTTTTTCTTTAATCCAACTCAAAGCTTCCCGAATACCCACCAGTTCAGCTTCCAAAGGAGATAACCGTCCCTGCCATATTTTGACAAATCCGGCTACAAACTCCCCTGCATCGTCGCTAACTAAACCCCCCAAGCCGCATCTATTACCCCTTATTGTTGCATCAATGTTTAACTTCAGCCTGCCATGAGGAGGTTTTCTCCAACCTACAGCAACACTTCCTAGAGATGAGCTTCGCCCCAAGCTAGGCTTCATTGCCAAAACCCACCCCTAAACAAAGACCCTAGCCTTCACCAGTTTTCAGCTTCAACTCCTTCCCATACCTGATATGCACTAGTTAGTAGTGCATAAATGTGTGTTTTTATATTTTGTTTTGTGTGGCTTGTTTACCATTTGTGTGTAGTTGTAAACATTTGTTTACTTTTATTTGTAAGTGTTTTTAGCTTTTATTTGTGAGTTAGGAAGTTTTGATAGAATTGTTGGCAAGTAAAAGGAAGAAAAACAAGGAGAATGCTGCCCAGGAGTATAAACCCGGCCGGGTAGAAACCTTCACCCGGTCGGGTTTGAGTTAACATATGCAATCTCCAGGAAACTGCTTGGCCCGGTCGGGCCCTATACCTCACCCGGTCGGGTGAGACTTGACTGGGCCCTATACCTAGAACGTGGAAGATATTTGATTTGGACCGGTACCCGGTCGGATAGATACTCTACCCGGTCGGGTACCCGGCCAAAGGTGTTGAAAAACACCTATAAATAGCACACTTTTCCTTCATTAAAAAACATCATTCTTCCATATACCTCTAAGCTCAGTTTAGACAAATTATTTCTTTATATTTTCTTCATGTTTAGTCTCCAAATGAGGAGCTAAACTCTTCCATCTTGGTTTTGTTACTTTGAAGCTTAATGAATTTGTAAGTTGTGAGTTATTCTCTTTAATCTTCTTCCTAGAATATTAATTCTTCCTTTAAATACTATTTTTATATCAATATTGGGGAGTGTTACTAAGATGACAATTAGTTAACACCTTGACATTAGTTATAGTAATAGTTATTTATTCCTCTATGTTAATTTTGGGGAGTGTTACTAAGATGACAATTAGTTAACATCTTGATATTAACTATAGTAGGATTCATCTTCTTTAATATTCTTCCTTGAGTATTAATTAATTCCTATTCATATTTCATATTAATATTTTGAACATTACTTAAAGGATCAACTAGTCTTGTTTCATATATTAATTACTATTAGAATCGATCGACGAATACGCTTGTTAATCGTTCGATCGTTTCACGGTAGTAAACTTGAGTTATTAATGTATGCGTTTCATGGTTAATAAACCAAGGGGAATTAATTATGTTGATTAAACCAATAAACCGCTTGTGCTGAGGTTATCAATCTCAATCGTTTTCATCTTGATTTTATTGCTACTATCGGGTTAATATACGGCGCGTGTTCTATATTAACTCGGTAGTAAGTTTTATTAATGAACGCGTCTCGTTATTAATAACTACCCTCGATGAAATGGATATACTCCTCGATTGAGTATTCGAGAGGAAGATAGTTAAAGATATAACCGGGATCGACGAACATTTCATTAAGTGGATAAAAGCAAAACCAAGTCTTAATCTCAATTAATTAAACTCATATAAGTCGTTCATCTTCGTATTTAATTAAATTAAATCACTCAAACCTAACCCCCCCCCCCCCGTTGTTACTAGTTAATTAAAAAGAGAAATATTCCTTTCCCTGTGGATACGAACCTTACTACGCTATACTACGTATAAGTGTTGTATTGTATTATTATTTTGAGTGCACACCACGACAAAGTGCACGTCAATACCCTTTTGTTCCTCTCACACCACAATCCCCAACACCCCCAGATCATTTTGCACAGCCCGTCCTCCTTCTTCACAATGAATTCCCGTTTCACTTGCTCCAAGAAAGATCCCCCAGTAGGAGCTGACCAGCTCCAATCAACAGCAGCCCAAGCTTCCTTCGAGACCTGACAAGAGATAAAAGATGTTGCAGAGACTCCTCTTCTTCCCCACACAGCCCGCACACACTCGACCAGTTAACTTTCCTGGACTTCAAATTGATTTTCGTTGGTAGCAGACCGCTGCACACCTGCCAGAAGAAGTGTTTGATTTTCGGAGGCAGCTTCCACTTCCACATCGTTGTCCACCCGGTCCACCCATCTCCCTCAACCTCCCCCGTCAAAGCTCTAAGCAACTCCGGACTGAATACCTCCCAGACGCCTCCCATCGCCAACATAATCTGTCTGGCACTGACCTGCAACTGATAGGAATGCCTCTAATCAACTTGACATCGCGCGGTTAAAAAATATCGTGGAGAAAATCAACATCCCAATTTCTCACATCATTACAGAAGAGTCCATCCGCTGTCGCCTGCTCCAAGCCCAAAACCGGTTCTGTTATTACCCTTGGATTATAGGCCCGGGACTTAGAACCGGAAAACCGGGAAAACCGAACCGAACCGAACCAAAATTTCCAGTTCGGTTCCTAAAATTGCAACATGTTACTTTTTCGGTTCGGTTCCTGTATTAGAGTAAACGGTTCGATTCCGGTTCTACAAGTTTTTACCTTCTTAGAACCGATTAGAACCGAATATGGTATACTTCTCCCTAATATATAAATGTTGGAAGGAAGTTATCTTTCGTTCTATTCCGTTGCTACAGTAGTAACGCCTTCTTTCTTATTATTAAGCGGTAATTGCAAATTGGGAAACCTGCTGTTTATTTTCGCCGATTGTGTAGCAACGCAGTAAAAAAAACGCCCCATTTGATTGCCTGTGGTGGATTTGCCGCTGACACACTTCTTCCTTCTTCCCCACGCAGCTGCTATTTGACACGCATCTGTCTTTGGTTCTGTTCTTCAACAACTTTGCTGACCTTGTTTTCCCCATCCATCCACTAATTCGGCTCTTTCCCCCCTTTGTAAGTTTTTTGCCCCTTTTGTTCTTTTCACTTTCTCGGTACTGTTCTGCTACACTACTCATTCGTTTTTGTTGTTCGTTTTGGGACTGCGCTGGTTTTGCAACGGCCCTTATTGCGCTGAGCTTGTTTCTTTATTTGTAATTGGGGGATTAGTTTTTTTTTTTATTTCTTAAACCAAAGCATATCTACACAATGTAATGCCCCTGTGAGTTTGTTTGGAGTTCTCTCAGTTTGTGTTTTTTATTTTTACTTCCTTTTATGTATGCTGAATTTAAATGCGAGGGTATTTGCTTATGCGAAAATGGTTTAAATCCAGGATGTACAAACTTATTATTCAAATGGTTTATTGCTTTCATGTTGTGCGCACAGCTACCTTGCTTTTTTTAAAATGTATTGTTGTGTGTTGTTATGAACAGGAATTGATTTTAGGAAAAATGGTATAATTTTTGTGTGCACAGACTTCATTTATAATTGCTCAAAGTTGATCATCCTCATTTTGAACGTTTAATCTGATCCAATGTTTACTAAAACATTGTTTAGAAAATTCCTCAATTTTTTTATTTGTTTTAAATTTTTAATACTTTATCTTAACACTAAACTTTTCACTTGTTCATAAAGCTTTTCAGACTTATGGTATTTTTACTGTTTCCAGGGGATTGATTGAAGAAGATTAAATTCCCCTTAAAGCAGATTATTCAATCAAATCATAGGAAGTAATATTTAAGTAGCATTGTGCAGATCTATTTTCCCAAGTTTACCAGCCAACTTGTTGTTTACTTGTGGATGCAATTGAACTTCACTTTTACATGTATTTCTAACTCTAATTTATCTTAACACTAAACTTTTCACTTCTTCATACTTGTTTTTTACTGTTTCCAGGGGATTGAAGAAGATTAAATTCCCCTTAAAGCAGATTATTCAATCAAATCATAAGAAGTAATATTTAAGTAGCAATGTGCAGCTCTATCATGCAAAAATGGTTTAAAGCCATAATGCACAAACTTATTATGCAAATGGTTTATTACTCTCATGTTGTGTGCAAAACTGACTTGATTTTTTATAAAATATTTTGGTGTGTACTGTCATGAACAGGAATTTCTTTTAGGAAAAATGGTTTAATTGTTGTGTGCACAGATTTCAGTTATAATTGTCCAAAGTTGATCATCCTCATTCTAAAAGTTTAATCTGAACCAATGTTTACTAAAACATTATTTGAAAAAATCCTTAATTTTTTTTACTTGTTTTAATTTTTTAATACTTTATCTTAACACTAAACTTTTCATTTGTTCATACAAGCGTTTCAAACTTATAGTCTTTTTATTCTTTCCAGGAGATTGAAGAAGATTAAATTCCCCTTAAAGCAGATTAGGTGGAACAAATCATAGGAAGTAATATTTAAGTAGCATTGTGCAGATCTATTTTCCAAACTTTTTCAGCCAGCTTACTGGTTAATTGTGGATGCAATTGAGCTTCGCTATTACATCTATTTCTAACTCTAATTTTATGCTATATGTCTCCCTTGCAGTCTATGTAAATTTGATCATCCTACTTCTCAATTTTTTTTATTTTCTTACTCCTGGATAATGCTTCGTTGGGGTGATGTTTGTTACTGGTGTGAATATAAACATTTCATTCTGTGTGTAATATCTGTTTATCCTCTCTCAAACGGTTAGTTGTTTTGGTGCCTCATGTTGTGTACCGGGTTGAAATTTAAATGAGAGGGTATTTGTTTATGAAAAAATGGTTTGAACCCAGAGTACACAAACTTATTATGCGAATTGTTTGTTACTCTCATGTTGTGTGAACAAATGAGTTGTTTTTTTGAAAAAATTTTGTTATGTGTTGTTATGAACAGGAATTGATTTTAGGGAAAATGGTTTGATGTTTTGCTCTTGGGTTTATTCATTTTGGTTATGTGCTCCATTTTTGGGCTCTGTAACGACTGTTTTGCGGCTTACATCTGCGTTGAATGAGTGGTTGTTAGCTTTGGTTTCTATGTATTTACTGGTTTTGTGACTTCTACCCCCACCAATTATGTTTCAATTTTGTCCCTGCAGGTCTTTGTGTGGTGTTTGTTGCTGTCGTGTCTTCTTCTCTTGTGGTTATCGTAAGTTTTTTCCCTTTCCTATTAAGGGGTTTTACATTTACGCCATTTTTTTATTTGCTGTAGTATTAGTTGTTTTTTATTGATTGTTCCCACTGTCAGTGATGGTTTGATTTCATCAGAGCCATGACTTTAATCACAGTTAGCCTTAATGTGCTCAACTATCTGTTTTTGGCATGGAATTTATTTGAATTTTTTTTTATCTCAATATGATGTAAGTTTTAGGTTTTCTAGCTGTTTTATATCTATGTTTCACTAC